AACTAGGTAAAGAAAGCACTTAATCTTAATTAGTGGCGTGACTGAACTCTCTCCCGAGTCTCTGAAACAGGCAACGCAGCATATTTAATTATTAATTATTATTTAATAATATTATAATAATATAATAATAATTTTATTGTATAATATAAAGTAGGTATATTCCGTCCGTCCCTCGCTCTGTTTCTATGCCAGCTAGTCTCTCATTTTTAAAGCCATCGTCTTGTAACTTTGCATAGAGTCGTCTTTCTGTTTCTAGCAGTTCGCATTTAAAAACATTTCTGCTTTTTGCTCTTAAGCTGGGTCCCCAATCTTCGATTACCAACGTATTTCAGCAGGTTTCTTCTACTTAATCTTCCCTCTTTACTCAACTGTGGGGCAATCCTCGCGCTGGTTATTATTGGAAGCATGTTGCTCAGCCTGATAAGGCTTTTAGTTCTTAATTTTAATATAGTTTTTTATACTTTTCAAAATATTTTCATCAAGTTCTCTATTCATGAGCTTCATCTGCAAGGGTATTTTATCTTCGGCCTACGGAAGATATCCTAACTCTCTTGTCTACAAGATTGATCAAAATGTAAGAGAAACCCAAATTTTAAACGAACGCAGACATAAATGTAACAACGATATATATGTATAATTTATTTGATATCTGTAGATATGGAAATTGAAAAAACATATGTTAGCTATATGATATATGTCAATATGCTCGCAGTATATAATTTATGGCGTTGTTGACGTGCTTGCGCCCAAGCTGTTGGGGAAAACAGCTCGCTTGGCAATGGGCTGGGTGGAGCTGCGCACAATTTTGATAAAGCCCTGCTCGCCCCACTCGGTGCCAAAGGAGTTCAGGCAGAGCCAATAGTCCAGATTGCTGTTCGTGTCGTGGCCATAGCCGACTACCACCAGGAACTGAGAGCTGCTGGCTGTGGCCCGCACTGGCGGCACATAGACACCGCTGCTGTAGTGCATAAAGCCAAAGGTCGCGGGATTATATTCGACAATAACTGGGATTTCGCTGGCAACGTAGCGCTTAAGCAAATCATCGTCGCCATCTTCTATGGTGCCATAGGAGTCCAGTTTGATGCTGCTCGTTGCCAACTTGGGCACGCACATGCCCTGATGATTCAGCGAATTGTTAGCTGCATATTCCTCCTCGTTCAGCAAAACAGCGTCTGTCTGGGTCAGATAGTCAAAAGCCGTTTGTGGCACCTGTGTGCTGCAGCCAGTGCCCATGCCAGCGCAATCGATCAGTGCCTGGGCGGAGTTGTTCAACGGCACCGCTTCTAAAGTCTGTATGGCATTGAGTATTTGAATGGACGTTGCCGCTGCATAGGCCCAGCTGCTGCTGCATACGGTGCCCTGATCCCGTGCCGTCACCTTGATTCCAAGTTCGGCTAGCATGTCATACTGGAGCGGGGCTATCTCGTTTGGTGGCACGGGCGTTGAATTGCCAAAAGTCGTGGGATAGACAGCCTGCGGCAAACGTGCCGCAAATGTTTTCAATCGTATATCAGAGAATTGATTCACCTTCACGCGGTAGCTGCTGGCGTTACGATCCGCCAGCGCATTATGCGAAGCTATTTGGTTGCTGTGGTAGTTGAAATAATAGTTGGCATTGTTTCTCTCCGCAGCGGAGCTATAGGACTTATTAAATTTTTCCTAAAATAAATATATTTAAGGTTTATTGTTAGGTTATTCTGAATTATTAGTTCTAGGGGGTCTCCTTGTCGGAAGAGCAGAGATAACACATCTACCAAGCACAATTCCTTATGTTTTGGGAAAACTTTAGCTCCAAGCAATTTGTATTTAAATTTCTTATTTTCAACTATGTGTACATGGATAAGAGAATAAATGATATATAAAGAACTTAAGGGAAGTACAAATGTTGTTAAACAAATGAAAAATACTTCATCTGTATATACTTTTCTTGAAGGCAAATGTCAAACTAGGTTAATAAAGCCATTAAACCCAAAGAGAATTGGTGAATAAACTAGATTTCGATATCGATTTTGATCGATTGCTTGCAAACAGGACAAGAAATCGATTATCGGAAAGAAGTTTTTGGCTCTAATGCGATCTGATATCGAAGCGTTCATAGAGATGTCGGTCACATTAGCTTGCACGAATACATTTTACCCCTTATTCCCATTTTAACTGGCTTCAGGGTATAAAAACAAACCTTCTTGGTTTTCTAAATGACCCAGTATCTTTAAATCATATTGGATTTTGGCGTAAGCCAGTCTTCACTGCACTATTATTTTCCGTAGTTTTCATATAGAGAAATAAACTTTATAAAACTATAAGTTTCACCGGGATGTCAAATTCTTTAAGGAACTTCCATATCCATTTTCACCTTAACTTTCAGACTCACCACATATGCATTAAAATCAATTAAGGCCTGTCCATGATTGAAGGCATATGCGCCAGAGCACAAAACACAGAACAGAAACAGCTTAAACATCGTCGAAATATATCAGAGACTAGTTAGGAATTGAACATTAGACGTACCCTTATATAGTCGCACCCATCCATGCACTTTCTTTATGATTAGACAAGCAAATAATAGATAAACGACCCACCATTCCGCAAGAAATGTGCAAATAGATTTCTACATATGCGGCATTAGATTCATGACTGTTATTCTTGGCGGCTCACAAATGCTTAATTCGCACTTGCCTAATTATGGTGTATATATATCTTGTACTGTTGTTGTCTATATGGTTGGGGTCTGTCGATTTGGCTAGTTAACTGGGCGTGGCCTGTTTACACGCCCCACTGCGCTGTCGGGGTTCTCATATCTCTGTTAATTTGTAATTTCTACTGGCCTAGTTCAATCTAACGTTGTGCTCAATTCTTCAAAACTCTGCATTGGCATATTCCGGCAATTGTTGGCACATTATCAAGCTCATAAATGTTGTAAGACTTGACAATTAAACCGCCAGATAAGCAATGCATCTACACGAACTAAGCACATTAACGTGCCTTACAAATGTTTGTGATTCAAAGTCTGATATGAAAATGAAATTAATTATTATACATTTTTTGTTTTGGCGAATGTTCCCCTAGAAAATCCCATTACCGGAATTTGAGCATTGTATTCTTAGGGCGCATCCGTTTTCGGGTGCATTTTGGTTTCTCCCAGAAATGAGTTCGATACACAAATTGTGATTCATCTACAAATATTCAATTTTTCATGTACTTCCCTTCCAATTTATATATAAAAATAATATGTCTAAATTATAAAATATCACTGAAATTGAACAACATTTAATTTAAAATTTTTACCAGCGAGTTTGATTTGATTCGGATCAGTGAATTTTCATTGTACATTTATTAATGCTAAATATTGTTATATATGTTAAACACTTTGAAGATTTCGTTTGTCCACATTGTCAATTAAGCTGCTATGTCTATGCGATTACTCATCCACAGACTTTTAAGAACACGGAAACTATTTTTGCTATTCATTGTTTATAAGCTGAAACATTAAATGTGGGAAAGAAGGTTGATTGACTTCTTGCTAAAGTATGTAACAGCCTGAAACCGACTTCTCCGGCTTATTGGGCATACATACAAAAATGATATATTATTATATTCTTGTCTAGCAGCAAAAGTTATCAATCTCATAGCCTATAAGAGCTAGAAATTATCGATGGGTTGCTGCAGTTCCCTTAAAATTGACAGAAGTCGATATCGAAATTCTGTTTTCTTTTAACATAACTCGGGACTTACACTCTCTCCCTCTCTCTCTTATAATAATCCTATGGTTCACAGAGTTCAAAAACATTTGCCTTGTTAATACCTCCCCTTGTTCTTCGCAAAATTGTAGGAAACTTTGGTATCCATAGTTACTCATAATAAAAACACAATGGATATTTGGTATAATATTTAACAAACACAAATAAGCAAAAAATGTTCGTCCCATAAATTTGATTTTCTCTCAAACTTTCCCATTTCCTGAGTTGAGCACAGATAATACCTTGAATACCTTGATTATGCATACCTTCATCAGTTTTACATCGTTACATTGAATTGCAGTTTGCATTAGTTCGTAAATCATCAAAACTGGTTGCATAAGTTAGCATGTATTCAGGCTATTAACAAGAAATGAGCCAATTAACAAATTGATGTGGCAATGCCCTAACTATAGGTATTAAAACTTTCAAACCGAATATGAAACGTATTGTTTCAGCGCTTTCCGAAGCCATGAGTGCATATATTATTGATCAGTTTGAAAAGTTGAAGCTTGACAGCCCATCAGTCTGCCAATCAATCAAAAAACATTGTTTTACAGACAGAATGAGTCTCCTATTTCATTATCTTATTTTTAACCCAGCTCTTATTATAAAACATCGATTACAAGCTTCATTATGCCAAATATTTTAATTAAATAAATAATTAATTAAATAAATAAATATATGTGTTGCTGTTTTCGGTTTCATAAGCTTCAGCCGTATATGTGAGGGTATTGAGACGTCGGCACTCGGCGACGAGCTGTTCTAAATTGTGATAATTTATTTAAAATAAAGTATTAAAGCAAAGAATGTCAATGTTAAACGTTAACAAAATGGTTTATAATGACTTCAAGATGCACTACCTGTGTATGCTAGGGCTATTTCAAATATTATTTTTTACTATTTTAAAATAGCTAGATATAGCTCTAGACTAGCAGTAGGTATAGTATTATTTAAATTAATTTACCTTGCGCAAAACATTTAACAGTCAATACTCTGTGAAAAACTGTGATCTAATGGCAATAAATTTGAATTTAAGGCGAATCGGAAAAGTGGTAAGAAATTTGAAGATGAGCACATTTTCAATGTTTGGAGCAGGTTTTTTATTTGTCTTTGGGCCAGAGCCTATAAAACCAAAGCGTCTGTCGCCAGCGCGACTTAAAACGTTCGCAGTCTCCGAGACAACGGCATCTTAACAAGATCTCCAAACGAGAAGAGGTCCAAGTCGAAAGCCAGAAATATATAAAAAAAAACTTACAAAAAAAGTTACAAAAGGTGATTAATGTGCATCTATTTATTTATTGACCAAGTGTGTGTGTGTGTGCAATCTGCGTTAATAATAGTTATGAAAATAACAAGCGTGTCGGCATTTCCGAAAGACCCCCCGTTCCCAGCTCTGACTAAGCGCCTTTCACCCGCATCAAAATCCGATTAAGCCGCAAATGTGCATAGGTCCGATTATTGGGAATATTATTATTGAAGTGAAATTCGTACAAGAAATGATTTACTTGCCAAGGGCACAAATTTCACAAAAAGAAAGAAGCGAATGCATAAATAAACGTATCACATGCGGGCTCATATGCAAATGATATGCATATTATAATTTTCAAATATATAAATCGAAATACATCAATTGGTTGTCGCAGTTTAAATTTAATGGCAATCATTAAAAACTAATTTAATCAAAAGAGACACGATGATAAAATCAAATAGCCCGAACGGCCATAAGAGAAATACACTCATGGTCAAGCCGAACTGTCTATTACCCTCTAAGAAAATTCCTTTACAATAAATCAATAAGGAATGCCAAGTATTCGTATAAAGTATGAGCATTGGGAGGCATATATATCGGCATAGCACCAAAATACATTCAAAAAAAAACTTATCTTTTAGTAACAAATTATCAAATACAATCAGATAGCAAGTGTTAAAATGTTTATCTCTTTGATTGCCTGTCATAAAAACTGAAGAAATATTATGCCTGGAAAACAATCAACTCTGCATTCAGAATATATATTTTCTATGGAAATTTCGAGGGTTGTAAACTTGATGACTTTATGCAAAGTACCGCATCGCTAGGGCAATCCAAGACATATATGAGACTGTGATGATTGGTACACCTGCTGTGACTGTGTTATTTAACCATTTTCACTCTTACATCATCTTCCACTCGACACGACATTTCGCTGTTCAGATGTGGATGTGCAAATCAGAGATGTTGCAGCTGCTGCTGCTGTTGGCCTGGTTAAATGCTGTGTCATTGCAGAAGCTGCAGTCATTCCCAAGGCTCTGCAATGTGCGCGACTTTGATGACTTTCTGCGGCAGACGGGCAAAGTGTATCCGGACGAAAGGGAGCGTGAGTTCCGTGAGAGCATCTTCGCGGCGAAGAAGTCTTTGGTGGATCTATCCAACAGCCGTGTGAGCAGCTATCGCCTCAACATTAACACACTCGCCGATATGACACGCAAGGAGGTTGCCACGCTGCTCGGTTCCAAGATCTCAACTCAGGGCGAGTAAGTACTCTGTGAATATATAAATATATAATGTAATAGTATGATTTTCTTCGTTGATTTAACTTATGTTCGGGTTGCCTTTTTATTTTTAACAACACGTCTTCTTACTGCTAGTACTGTAGAGAGACTGCCTTCCACTTCTTCTCTGCAGCCGCTTTTCTTTATCGATATTTACTTATCGTACTGTTATAATTAACATAGATAGTGACACTATAATACCCTGGCTAGGGTTACCAATGATGCTCTTATCCTATTACAACTCGGCCATCCTGACAAAGAGAGCTCCCGATCTCTGTCTTTTATATGTGTATCTATCTTTATAACTAATGCTTATTGCCTATTTTCGCATCCAATGCTTAAAGTTTTGGCTATTCCAGATACCAACGTACGGGTTGCGAGATAATTGAAAGCCTTCTACATCCTTTAACAAGTATCTATCATTTTTTAAAATCTTTTCTATACTATAAGGCCCTTTATATCTTGGTATTAACTTTTTTGAAACTCCTGGTGTGCTATCAAAATTTTTTACCATGACATAGTCACCTATTTTATATTCTACTGATACTTTCTTCTTTTTATTAATCCGCTCTTCATTTCTGATTTGAGCTTCTTTTTGATATATTTCTCCACTCTTTCTTATATTTTCTAAATTTCTTTTATCACACGTGTTCACCTGTGTAAACTCTTCTAATTTTTCTTTTAATTCATCAACAACTTTTCCTTTCTGTTGTAATCCGAATAACATTTCGCTTGGAAATTTCTTTATGCTTTTGTGTTGTGTGTTGTTTATTGCATATTCAACATTTTCTATAATAACATCCCAATGTAAACCATTTTCTGGCTCCGCCATTTTTGCCATCATCGGACCCAAGTCTCTATTCAACCTTTCCACCTGACCATTTGCTTGCGGACAACCCGTTGCTATTTTAATATGCGTTACTCCCTCATTTTTTAAAAATTCATCAAACTCTTTTGCAGTAAAACAACTCCCTCTGTCCGATACAATGAACTTAGGTCTACTATACGCTCTGAAATAATCTTTTAATGCCTTAATCGCTTCTTTCGTACTTGTTGTCTTTGCTGTATATAGTCTAACAAATTTTGAAAATCCGTCAACCACCGCCAATATATATTTATTAGCCCTTCCTGCATTAATTGGTCCATAATGGTCTATATGGATCATCTCCCACGGTTTGTTTCCTTTCGGTATGCTATGTAATAGTCCTTCACTCTTACTCGTCTTGGGGGCGAAGGCAATGCATTTTAAACAATTCCCTATATGCTTTATTGCTTTTTCCTTAATATATGGGAACCAGTAACTCTTTCCAATGGCATCGATCATCTTATCTCTCCCAGCATGTCCCAACTCATCATGATATTTGTAAAGTACATGTTCTTCCATATCCTTTGGTACATAAAAAACTAATCTGCCATCATTTGTTTTTCTGTAAATGACCCCATTTCTCATTTCGAATAGCTTGTGCTCTTCTTTTTCTAACATCTTTCTAATATCTACCAGTTTGTCATCTTTGCTTTGGCAAATAACTAAATTGTCCTCAAAACTATTGGATTCAATAACTAAAATGTCCTCATAACATCTGCTTAACGCATCCACATGTTGCATTTGCTTGCCCGATCTATGCACTAACTCAAAATCGTAATTTTGTAGTTCTAACGCCCATCTAGCAATTCTCGGATTTAAATCTATTTTGTTAAGCGTTAAAGTTAAAGAGTTGCAATCTGTCATTATTTTAAATCGTTTTCCCTGCAGATATATACGAAATCTGCGTAATGCGTAAATGATGGCTAGCGTTTCTAACTCAAAACTATGATATTTAGACTCTACTTCGGTTGTTCTTTTAGAAAAATAAAAAATCGGGTGTAATTTCCTATCTTCTTTTTTTTGAAATAAAACAGCCCCAAATCCCACTGCGCTGGCATCACAATGTAGTTCTATTTCTTCTTTGTAATTATATATTGATAGTACTGGCGCCTCTAACAATTTATCTTTTAACATATTAAAACACTTAAACTCCTCTTCTCCAAACTTGAATTTCTTATCTTTTTTCAATAAATCATATAAGGGTTTAGCTAATATAGAAAAGTTTAAAATGAACCTCCTGAAGTAGGAGCATAACCCTAGGAAACTTTGTACTCCCTGAATTTTGTTTGGTATTGGAAAGGATTTAACCGCTTCTAACCCTTTTTCATCAGCCCTAACGCCTTTACTATCCACCACAAATCCTAAATATTTAACGCTGCTTTTAAAAAATTCACACTTATCTAATTTCAACTCTAATTTGTTTTGCACCAGTCTTATAAACACTTCCTTTAAGGTCTCCATGTGTTCCTTTATGTTTGTACTTGCTATCATAATATCATCCATGTAAACAATTACCTTATTATCTTTTATCATATCACAAAATATGTTATTAACAAATCTTTGAAATACATGTGGCGCAGTTTTTAAACCCATGGGCATCCTAAGAAATTCATATTGTCCTAAAGGGGTAACAAATGAAGTGTATTTAATAGATTGCTCATTAACAAAAACATGAAAATACCCGTTTTTTAGATCCAACTTTGAAAATACTGTTTTTCCGCATAGTCTGTCTAATAAATCGTCGATCAATGGTAGCGGGTAGTTGTCTCTACATATAATTTTGTTCAGTCTTCTAAAATCAATACATAACCTCATGTCTCCAGTTTTTTTCTTCACTAGTACTATAGGTGATGCATACTCTGAACAACTTGGCCTAATGATTCCATCTTTTAAATAGTCGTCTAATAATTCTTGCAACTTTTCTTTTTCCATATAAGATAACCGCCTAGGTGTACAATTAAATACTTTGTCGTTTTCTAATCTTATGCTTAACTCATGTCTTAATTTTGGCTGATTTGGCCTTTTCGCTTTTACATAAGTATTTTCAAATAAATTTTCAAATTCACACTTTGTGCTGTAATCAATATCTTCACTTAAAATATATATATTTTCTCTTTTGTTAGAATCTTCCCAACTTATTGTTAAGATATCCTTCTCAAAATTCTCTTCTAACACTCCCATGATTTCGCTATTCACTGGCGCTTCATTAACATGATTATTAATTTTAACTGCACTGTTTCCTATATCTTCTATAATCACTTTTTCAATCCCGGTTTGATTATAGATAATTTCATCACTAACAACTTCTTCACTATCAGGTTCGAGCTTAAGCTCTCCATAACTAACTATCTCATCACTAACAGTTTCGATCCCAATCACTTCATTTCTAACTATTTCACCACTAATTATTTTATTTCTAACTATCTCATCACTACCAATTTCATTACTGACTATTTCCTTATTAACGATTTTATCATTTAACAATATAGTTTCATTTTGCTCGTGTTTGATATCTTCATCGTCCACTTTTTTTTGTTTTTCTTTGTAGCTTGTAGCTATGATATCATTTTTACCATTATTCTGGTGATCAACTTTATGCCCGTTCACAATTTTTAATGTTCTTAAATCAATATTTAAACCAAAAGAATCCATAAAATCTCTACCAAGCACAGCGTCATACCTCATAGACTCATTTGCCACAATTATAACATTAAAATAAACATTTATTAACTTTTTCTTCATAAAACATAAAATTTTTCCAAAATTTTTCAATTTACTTTCATTTAAACCTACATACGAATTTGCATCTGGCATACGCTTTACTTTTAATGGCACAAACTTTTCCTTTAAAAATGAAATAGGGCTGCCAGAGTCTATAAGGCATTCTGCAATTATTGATTTGTTAAATGAGTTACTAAAATGAATTCTTAAGTATCTTACATATTTGTTTTCCATATCATACTTTTTATTTGGACATCCTGCTATTAAATGATCCTTTGAGCCGCACGCATAGCAAGATCCTGCCTCCCGTTTGGGCTTTAAACAATCTTTGGCCCAATGGCCCTTAACATTGCAATTGTAGCAACGTTGTTGTTTGTCCGCCTGTGCTTCCTGTGCAGTTTGTTTCACTACATGGTTTCGTACCCGTTTAATTGGCAACTTTATAGCTGCAAACGCACGTAAAATTTGAGCCGGATTGGTAAAGCAATGCATACTAGCTTGAGTGCGCAAGTTTTCGCAAGGTATGCCTCGAATAATACCCTCCATTAACTCCTCTACATCAATGTTGATGTCCTGTGCCAATATGCTTTTTTCGCTAAAATATGTGGCGAACACCTCATCTGGTTTCCAAACCCGATCCTCGAACTTCTGTCGTAGTTCCGACTTCGAAAATCCTCCCCCGAAGGCCAAAACCAATTGATTTAGCATCTCGTCAATCGGAGCAATGATGCGCATAGGGTCTGCATGCAACCACTTCAAAGCACCGCCTTTCAATTTGCTTATACAAAGCAAGTGCTGTTGCATATCATTTAGTCTGTAGATCTTGGCCACATTGAAGAATTGCATTACCCATTTACGCACCTCACTTTCTCCAGTAAATTCTAATAAAATTTCCTTGGCTAACATCATCGCTCCAGTTTGGATGCAATTATTTAAGTTGCCTCCGACAGCGTTGCCACTTTCGTCGATCCTTCCAGCTGCCCCAGCGTTGCCCGCTGCACCAGCGTGATCAGCTGCACCAGCGTTGCCATCCGTTCCAGTGTAATCAGCTGCACCAGCGTTGCCATCCGTCGACCGTGGTCTTTCTTCAGTGTGACCATCCTCTAGCTGCAATAAATCGCCGACTTCACTTTCTTGCTCTCCCCCGTCGCTCCCGCCGATGTGCGAGTTGCGGTTCACCGTTACTTGAAATTCTTCTAGGAATTTTCGAGACGCTTCAATTTCGAGACGCATCAATTTCAGCATCTCGGCGCCATTTGCTATTTCGTCACGCTGTTGTTGCATTATGTTTTGCAACTCATTTTGAGCCTCAATTGTCTGTTCCTTGTTACGTTGAACTTCAAGTTCCTTTGCAGCATCGTCTCGGATATCCACTGGTACCTTATTTAATCTCGCCATCAGCTCAGTTTTGGTACCCTCTGTTGGCAAATTTAGTAATGCCAACCAACTTTTCAATGTCGCTATTGACACGTCATTTATATTTATATTTTCCATTTTGTTGTGTTTTTTTTTTTTTTTTTCTGAGTCAATCCCACTTCTGATATTGTAATAGTATGATTTTCTTCGTTGATTTAACTTATGTTCGGGTTGCCTTTTTATTTTTAACAACACGTCTTCTTACTGCTAGTACTGTAGAGAGACTGCCTTCCACTTCTTCTCTGCAGCCGCTTTTCTTTATCGATATTTACTTATCGTACTGTTATAATTAACATAGATAGTGACACTATAATACCCTGGCTAGGGTTACCAATGATGCTCTTATCCTATTACAATAATAAGAAATTTTAAAAGGTTGCAATTACGCTGACAAACCAAGCACACACACGACTGAAAGATGGGTGAAAATCTATGATGCTCAAATTTATACAATTAATTTTGACAGTATAAGATCTTTATGTAAGATCTGTAAAGAGCATATATGTAGAAATGTAGTTGGGAAGATTTTTCACCAATTTCGATAAATCCACCACAATAAGTGAGAAATAATAATTGTAAAAAGGTTAGAAATATGACCCAGCAGAGGCTAAAATTACTTAATTAAAAATAATAGAATCGATAACCACATTTATTACTTACTGTTCTATTTCCCTTTTTCAGAGAACTGACCGCACGCCACATCAACTTTGTGCCCGCCACAACCGCGTTAAGTGACAATCTGCCGGAATCGTTTGATTGGCGTGAAAAGGGAGGCGTTACACCGGCTGGCTTTCAGGGTGTTGGCTGCGGCTCGTGCTGGTCATTCGCGACAACTGGCGCTCTGGAGGGGCATCTGTTTCGGCGCACTGGTGTGCTGGTGCCGCTGTCGCAGCAAAACTTGATGGACTGTGCCGATGACTATGGCAACATGGGCTGTGATGGCGGCTTTCAGGAGTATGGCTTTGAGTATATACGGGATCATGGCATAACGCTGGCAAACAAGTATCCCTACGAGCAGGTGGAGATGGAATGCAGGCAGAACGAAACGGCCGGCAGGTATCCGCGCGAGAGCATTGTCAAGATACGCGACTATGCGCGCATCGATCCGGGGGATGAGCAGAAGATGAAGCAAGTGATTGCCACGCTGGGCCCCTTGGCCTGCTCAATGAACGCCGGCGCCATATCCTTTGAACAGTACGATGGCGGCATCTACGAGGACGAGGAGTGCAATCAGGATGAAGTCAATCATTCGGTCGTTGTCGTTGGCTACGGCACAGAAAACGGACGTGACTATTGGATCATCAAGAACTCATACTCACAAAACTGGGGCGAGGCTGGCTTCATGCGACTCCCACGCAATGCTGGCAGCTTCTGTGGCATTGCCAGCGAGTGCAGCTATCCCATACTGTGAGCACGTGCCAGCCGTGGGTTAGTCAGTATCTTTAAGTATTTGTTAATACCATGTATACGAATTTATTTTGTTACCATAGTTTGTAGAAGGAATAAGAAATGTTTTTGTAAAAATAAAAACAAACTATTTTATTTGATATTTTTTGTGTTAATATGTTCTGATATGCACGAAACTGTTAGCAAGAAGACATCCGAAAATTCCAATCAGATTCTATTGTGCATTTAAATTAGCCCAGTTGAACGCAAATTTTCATTCAAATCGGAGCAAAGAAATTTTGGGGTGCAAACAGACGCACAGATTTATATGTGTGCAAAAATATATAGTAGCTTATCAGTTGACGAGTTTTTAATTCGTTTCATATGTCCCAGGGACAAAACTAGAAGCTTATAATAATATGTAAAAGAACTAATTGAAAGTCAGATCGCATAACATTTGCATTCGCTCTTTACGCAGCGTCTATAAAAAGGGGTCTCACAAGCGAACCACACTTAGTAAGTGGGAACACTTTGAGATTGAAGGATGAATTCGCTTGTGATTTTTTTCGGCATTTGCGGGCTTTGCATGTGCCTGGCTGCTGGGGCAGGAGCCGCACCCACAACAGCCGAAACAACCGTGAAAGTGGAAATGGATGAATCCACGACGCCGACTCTTCAGGATTCCTCAGATAACAAATGCGATATTGAATGGTCTGAGTATAAGGTACAAATAATATACATTAATTGCAACATTTATAGTGCAAAGAATTTAGTAAGATCCAATCCAATATCATAATAGCAAAAATACCAAAAGAACTATCAGAGCAGCGGCGATGAGGAGAAGCGTCACAAGATATTCTGCGATAATCTGAGCGAAATCGAGAAACATAACGCCGCCTACGATCTGGGTCAGGAGAGCTACAAGAAGGGCGTTAACGAGTTCAGCGATATAACCCAAGACGAATGGCAGAAAACTTATCTCAATATGAATTAGCTTTCCGTTTTTTAAAATGCTTGAAAACTTACATTGTCTTAAAATATCTCTTAAATATGTGAAAAAATTATAAATATTTCCGAAATTCGAATAAAGTATTTAAATTAAAATGTAATCAGTTTTGTGTCTTGTTTTGACAGTGAGGAACGAACAAATAATGTATATATATATTATATCAGAGTTAAAGTTTTAGATAAAATTAGCATAAAATAAAAATAAAGCAAATACATTATTTTGAAGATTGATATCGTGCCAAAGCAATAATAGCTCTTAACCAATAAAACCACGTAAGTGTCAAGCAAACCTGGGGAATACTTATCGCTCATACGCGCGATATATATATATATATATATATATTTATATCGAGCTTAGCTTATAAATAATTCAGTTCACATTGCCGCATGCTCCAGACGCATTTGCTTTTGTGACTAATAATTTGCAGGCGTTGTATTGGTTTTTAAAAATATGTGTCATAATTTATTGACTGTTTGTATTATTTCTTTTTTTTATTTTTAGCTGGGATTGGTTTTATTAAATTATTGTTCATGGATTTTCAAACAAGTACATTTAAAATTTAGCATCAATTTGTACCGATTATGTTTAAATATTTTTATTTCATTCAGGAGCTCTACACGAATAGTTTATAAATTTACCGCAAATTTGTGTGTTATTTGGTTTGGCTTTAATTAGAGGTTTTTTGATGAACGGTTTTTTCATTTATTTTAAATGTAATATTTAATTACTTTTGCTTAGCCTTTTGCACATACAACATAGTACATATACATACAGCTGGCTTAGACAATTTACATATACAATACATAAATATATAATATATATATATATATTTTTTTTAACAAATTCTCTCATAGTTTACCATTATTTGATGTTGCACTAAACAAACATTTATGTTTAATTATTTAAATATGTTTACATTCATTGATATTGGTTAATTTTCGATTGTATAGTACGAATAGTTTTTTTTTTTCATAATACTATACAATTCTTATGTGGGTCAACAGTTCCCATGGGCTCTTGCCAAAAGTCAAAATTATTTTTTTGCCAATTATTCTTTTTTGCAATTCCTTGCTATAAATAAATGAATTTTTTGAATGTGAAGTTAATCAACAACATCGTTATCGAACTTTACTCTCAGAGCTATTCCCCAGATATTTCGTATGGCATATTTGTGACTAAGCTTCATACATTTCTGTGGAACTGATTCGAAAGCGAAGTTCGACAAATTGTTGTTGACTTTAATAGCAATTAATATTAATACTAAATATTGTATAAATCGTGTTTGAATACTGCGGTTCAAGAGCTTGGTTTCTTAATATATTAGCTGAAGAAGTGAGACTTGGGCTGGTTTGGACTCACTTTTCAAACTAATATCTTATGCAAAATTATAATTTGCTCAAGTCAAACGCTTTTGTATGATTACTCATTAATTTCAACCCATTTGCTCATATCTTGGGAGCATTTTTGAGTTTAACAATTATTAGCTGTAATTCAATTTTAGATTTTTTACATTTTGGCGTTGTGTTTTATTGTTTCCATATATATATATATATATATGCGCTAAATTCAAGCGACCCTGGCCATAGGTGCTGCAGCTGTTGGGCATTAGAAAGAAATATGTTTTAGGAGCAAGCAGAAGTAGGAGTTATTAGGTGTAAAATGCTTGTGTGTCATTTGGTTGGTTGTAAAATGGATATGTTTTGAGCAGTTTTTGTGATGTCTGCCAGTTAACTAGTGTGGATCGATTACTATAATCATTTTTGCTGTTGGCGTGTGTAAATTTGTCTAAAAAACATTTTTGTATTTTTTGGTTTTTCTCTTTTCATCATTTCCTGCTGTCAGGGCAAAACTGAACAGAGCTGAGCATAGAGGGCCAGGGCCTTGCACAAGAAAATTTAATACAATATACTAAACAACTAACAACGTTTAAAGCATAATTATATATGTATATATATGTATGTATATATACATATATATAGTATTTAGTTTATAATGTGTATATATCATACTCGTATATATTGCAACAAATTTTCACTACAAAAACTGCACACATAACTTAGGGGGCTAGCTTATAAATTATTATCATTAATATTATACTGTATAAGGATAGGGTTTTCAACTGAGCAGATCGGCTTGCTGCTTACTGTATTCCTTGCTGAAGCAAATGCATGGCATTGTTGTTGTAGTTGTGGTTGTAGTTGTTGTTGTTGTTGTTGTTGTTGTTGTTGTTCTTATATGCTTGACATCGGTGTATTAGGTTAAGCCAACTTGTGCACTATAATTGCAGTTGGTGTAAAAATTGTATTTGCCATTTGCACTACCAAAAAAATGTGTGTGTCGACAACGGAGGAGTGGCACAACTTGCTAAGTGATACGCTTAGTAGGTGGGTTGCTGATACTCCATGCCCGACTGTTGTTCCATGCCTGCAAAAGAGATGCAAAAGAATATATATACACACAATCTATATTGTCTGGCAGATGAGCGAACTAACCCTGCTGTGGCTGACCAAATGGCGAGGCACTGTACTGCTCATTGTCGTTGTCCATGGAGTAGCTATATGCCTGCTGGTGCACCACATTGGCCGGATCAGTCTCAAAGGCCGAGGTGAACTCGTCGCCGGCGCCGATCAGAAAACGTTTATAGGCCATAAAGGCGCACAGAGCCTGCAAATAAACTTGGTTGAGTTCACAAAAATAGCCAACTGGGCTTACGACTCACCCAGCTGAAGATGCTAAAAAAACAGAATACAATGGCCGTCTTCATGCTGCCGGCGCCAATGCCCAGCGGGGGCATGGGTGCCGAGCTCCATTGGGACCACAAGTAGAAGAACGCGATGAAGTACATAAATGCCCAGGCAGCTGCAATTGCAAGCATTAGCAGAAGATAGCCGAAGCTATTAAGTTGAATCCGTACATACCCGAGAATCCCATGTCGCCCATGACGTAACGCTTTCTGCTCTTCACCGAGGACATGCGCTCGAACATGAACTCGCCGCCAATGAAGTACATGGAGGCGAGAAAGCCAAAAATGCCAACGGTATTGCCATATTTACAGGCCATGCCATCGTTATTATAGAGACACATCTCCTTGCCATCCTTTTCGACCCAGCCCTCGGAGGATATGCAGCCGAAGACCACAATGGAAAAGAGCTGGGAAAATGTTCAAAATCGAATTATATATTGCTGAAACAATGGAAAAACCACCTTTATAAAACCCTAAAGCGTAACCCGATCCGATGGGGCAGACACGCATACCACATACCCGCTTAGCGTCCAGTCAAATAAATGTATTGATTTTATGGAGCAGGTGCAACAAACCAGAAGTTCAAGTACACACACACACACATAAACAGACACCAATACTGGCGCGCATTTAGGTTTGTGACCCAATTTGAAGCGAAGGCCAAGTTTAGTGAGCAAAAGAAGCGCCTGAGGATAGGCAATGCCAACTGCCATAACAAAGCTGGTCCTTGACCAAACTTGGCAAGCTGTCAGTTGTTGTCGCTGTGCAAATAATACGCATATATATAGTATATATATATAGTATATATGGTTAAGTATATGTCGTCAGCTCAAAATGCCATTAAACGAAATGACTGCTAAACGCATTTCTCTCACTTGCCTTTTAGCTGTGACGCACATGCTGGCCATTAAAATGGCTTTATTTAGTGGCCATTGCATTGGCTTATATTTGATGGGCTTTATTTCAAATTTTCATAGACGTGAGACTTTTAATGGCGCCTGCACAGCTGTGTCTCCAACTTGGCCCAGTTGTCAGCCATGCTCTAATTCCTGACTCATCCCATCTCTCAAATCACGATGCAGTCATTAACACCAACAACAAACTATCCACGATATTCCCACAACGAATCATTTGTACTTAATAAACTAATAAATAGTATAGCAACTTTTCGAGTTATTGCAATTAAGGTAAATATGATGTAAATTAAATGTTGTTACGTTATGGATGTCTAATAGTCTTATTAGGAATGCAAATAATAGTTATACAAATAATAACAATCCCGTTTTCTCTGTGCGAGAGGAATCTTAAAAACAAAATGGCTTCCCTGTTCTAATTGGAAAAAAACTGCTATGCAGTTTGGGAATGCTCAGCATCGTTAACCCGAAATTGAATAGAAGCTGCTGCGTCAACGACAACGTAATGTTAAAATGTGCTTTGTGTGAGGCCATCAGTCACCCAGTTTAAGGTAGGGTGGTCCCTTTATTTAACTTACCCAGCATAGGGCGCGTATGACAACTTGCGGTTTCATGGCAAACGTCAACGGATCGAAGGCGCCGCCCGCCTTGCCCCCGCCATAGGCGCCACCAGCATTAATGTTGAGTATTTGATTAAGCACATCCATTATTAACGCCTACCACTTGCTTGCTCTATGTATATATATAGTAATCTAATTGTTTTGTTTTTTTTGTATATTTCTTTGTGTATATTTATATTTTTTTTCTATAACGCGTGCGAGCTGCGCAAACTTTAGTCAGTCGTGTGTGTGTGTGTGTGTGTGTTTTTGCGTTTCTCACGTCTTGTTGTGAAAAATCGAATGCTTCTTACTATGCCAGCTCAAGGGCAAAGCGGGGGCGTCTTGTACGTTAGGTTTGGTAGTGTGTGTGCGGCTGTCCGTACATGTATACACTGAAAAGCTCTGTATGTGTGTGTGCTATGCTGTAGTATATCACAATTATAGATTACAGCACACCAGAAATAGCAAAGCTCAAAAGGTTTAGGTTGTGCTCGCGATATCCTGTGACACACTCGCGCGCGTCGAACTACAGAAATCGCCAACGTTATTCAAAACAAACAAGAGACACGCGCACAATTTATATGTTATTAATCATGCATAATTAATAAATATTCCACAAAATTTCAAGGGCCTGATTTTCACTTTTACTTTTCTCACACAACGGCCAACGCGCAGGACTAACAGTAAAGTGTATGTAACGTCCTGTACTCGCTCTCAGTGTGTCATTGTGTGCGTGTGCATGTTTGTGTGTCAGGCTGCTAAACGATAAAATCGTTTGTACAATCGATAACTATTTAACTATCGTTACCAAGCTGGACTTAATGTACATCACATTTCTCGAAAACGTCCAAAATAGTTTAAATAAAATATTCAAAAGTTGCCACCCTGCTCAATTGCGTAAACCTTTTACAGCACTACCGATAGTATCGCATTCGTATGCGATTTGGCGCCAACTGAGTTGCCCATAAGTTTTCTCTCTTCTAATAAATATACTAAAAAAAATTATATGTGTATTAAAAATATAAAGTAGTGAAGCGTTAATGCGTTGCCCTTTGTTATGCAAACAAAAAAAGGAAATAAACGGAAAGTGGTGCTTGCCATGTGGTTACGAGAGGCATCAACAACGAAATTGGTTAGGCAGCCTTCTGTTCAATTGCTTGGAGTCTGTGCCGTTGCATCCGAATACAACGCCTTACTACCAAAAGTATGCGCCGAATTTTAGAAACAATCCAAGAGCTACTAGGCCCCATTGGTTGCAGGAGCCAGAGCAGGCGAGACCTCAAAGGGCCAACAAGCTACCGACTAAATTAGAGCCGGAACCTGAGATTTTCAAAGAGAAATCCACACAAACCGAATCAGATAAATATGAGCATAAAAAGAAAGAATCCCTTCGAGAATACCATCTTATTCAGCCGTTCTTAAAGCAAAAGAATAATAAAAATTTTAAAATTTCAGCAGATGATATTATAACAACCTTTGGAACATATCGAAATAGGGAAGAGTACAAGAAACAGAAGCCAATTCACAAACCCTCTCAGCGACATTTACCACAAAAACATGAATCGAAGCTTGCTGCAAATCAATTTATTGAAGATAGGTATACTTTGAGCACAGACAAAAAGAAGAAACAAATGGTTCAAGAGCGGAATCTCATATTGCAATTCTGTCCACAGAAAAATGCAAAGAATATACAATCTAAAGAACAGCCCAAAACCCTAAACACAAAATTTGGCACATACTCTCAAGGAAGCATCGAAGCCCAACCAAAGTTCACAAAAAAATTGGCAAAGATGTTGCAAGGCACCAAGGTGCCTGAATTCAACGCCTTGTTAAAGAGCAGACATGGTTTGCGAGTGGATGCCAAACAGGAGGCACCTGCGCTGCACCGAAGCAATAAAATCAATCCGTTCGCCCAGGTACCTGACACACCTGTGATACAAAAGAAAAAAATTAAAGCAGCACCAAGGGATACTGAAGAACTAAAACAAGCCCCCTTAAAGTCCGAGCCAAAGCAGGCGCCCTTAAGGACCGAGCCAAAGCAGGCGCCCTTAAGGACCGAACCAAAGCAGGCGCCCTTAAGGTCCGAACCAAAGCAGATCCCATTAAAGACCGAACCAAAGCGGGCCCCATTAAAGAGCGAACCAAAGCAGGCCACATTCAAGACCGAACCAAAGCAGACTCCATTAAAGAGCGAAGTTAATATCCAGCCCGCTTTTACTAAAACTTTTGAGAAAATGTTGCAGGATGTTAATCCGGAAATGCCTGAACAGCATCGATTACTAAGAAGTCAACACTTGTTGGCCATCAAGGGAAGGGATAGGAGAAAGCGAAGTGCCATAGACGTGGTCGGCATCCAACCCAAGTTTACTGCAACCTTTGATAATATGTTGAAAAATACGAATGCCAACGAGCCGGAAGAATACAAATTAATAAAGAGCAGATACGCTATAAAACGAAAAGCGAATGTAAAAAGAAAGTTAATTGCCAATGCGGAAAGAAAACGATCGTCTGTAGGCAGTTCCTTAACAAGGAGTAAAGTCAGTATAATCAGGAAAGTTAAATACAGATCGTTTCGCAGGGACAAAAAGAATACTATCGGATCTTTAGACTCGTTCGATGTGTGGAATTTGAAATATTTAACACAAACTAAGTCGCATATTCCGGAGAAAATGTTCGGCAATAAAGAAATTCATCCGCGTAGCTCATCTGCGATGATCAGCCGTTCATCCTCGTTGGCAAACGAGGAACACGAAGTGACAACTCCCTCGCCATCGGTAGGGTATATACTTCCCACACAAAACGCATTTAAGCTTTCACTTTATGAACCAATTCGTTACCCTCAACCTGGCGAAGCTCAGCCTAAAAGAGTTGGCATAAAAAGATACTCAAACCGCATAAGGAAATTCTATAATATTAGACCAAGACCGAGTAAGTCGCCAAGCTTTCTCCGTAATCGAAAAGTTGACAGCCCCGTCGGCATGGCAGCTCGCAATGTAGAGGCCGAAATAGATTCAACCGATCAGGGAGATGTTAAAAACAAAATTGATGCACAGAATTCATATTCTTTATATGACTTTCAATCGAACCTAGATATTAATATAAGTAGGTCTGGTCAGTGGCTATTGGAGCGGCGTGCCCAGCTGGCGGCGCAAATAGCTGAGTTAATGAAACTCGTAGAAATTCGGGAGGATGTACCGCTCAGAAAAAAACGCGAACGCAACTTTGTGCGAGAGGCTCAGACGCAGTTGTGGAAGACAAAACCACCGAGAATTGAGAAAATCGCAAAGAAAAAGCGAAGCAAATTTCCCACTAAATTGGAGAAGCTAAGATTTCCTAGCGATACGAAAACAGGTTCCCTGAAACCGTTGGTCATTCGACGCTATCGTAGGAAACCAGAGCTACAGCCAGCCAAACATCGTACGGAATGTACTTGTGCTACCTGTAATACCTGCAAAATGTTTAAGTTGGGAAAGATGGAAGCCGATACGCCACTCATTCGAGAAATGAAGGCCAAGGGGCGGCGTATGCAACTACAGAACTACTATCGACTTTTATCACAGCGTGAGGCATGGAAGCGTAAGGGAGCAGCCCTCTAATATTATCTGTTGCTGCACATGCTGATGACGACGACAAGATTGGCTGTCAGTTGATCTATGACCACATTTGGTCAAAGATCAACTGACAACCAATTGAGCTCCTTAAAGGAGTTGTCGTACATTTGCTCCTAGGATCTTTTGGATAAGATCGTAGAGCTGGCATTTTGACATTCATGTTGCATGTGTACAAACGTGTTTTTAAGTGTTTCATAATTTTAACATAGATTTATAAGCAAAAAGAATGAATATATAATCTATGTGACAAATTACAGATTATTCAACGTATTTTAATTGCGTATAAACAACGGGGTTTGATTTTATAAATGCATTGCTGGCTTTCAATTGGATTATTCTTGATTATTCTGATCTATTCGCTGGTAAATTTGGCCGGGCGTTTCTCCACAAAGGCCTGCATGCCCTCTTTGCGATCAGCCTGCGAAGAGCAAACAAAATTACAAATATAATAAGCAAGTATTACGTAATCAATCAGATCAGCTCACCGTAGAGAATGTGGCATGGAAGGTGCGACGCTCAAACTTGAGACCCTCCTGCAGGGTTGTCTCATATGCGGTATTGACCGCCTCCTTGCACAGCTGCACAATCAAATTAGAGTGGGTGCCAATTTTCTCGCCCAGTTTAATCGCCTCGCCCAGCAGTTGATCGGCTGGAATGACCTTGCTGACCAGGCCAACCTTCTCCGCCTCCTGGGCATTGATCATGTTGCCAGTCAGGCACATCTCCATGGCCTTGGACTTGCCGACCACACGGGTCAAACGCTGAGTGCCGCCTGCACCGGGTATGGTGCCCAGCGCAATTTCTGGCTGACCGAACTTGGCCTTCTCGCCGGCATAGATAATGTCGCACATCATTGCCAGCTCACAGCCGCCCCCGAGCGCATAACCATTGACCGCAGCAATGATGGGCTTCTGGGTGCGAGCCACCTCTGTCCAGTCGTTAAGGAAGTTGCCCTGAATGCACTGCGAGTATGTGTTGGGTGCCATCTCCTTGATGTCTGCGCCAGCGGCAAAAGCCTTCTCGCTGCCAGTCAGCACAATGGCGGCAATATTCGCGTCCTTGCCAAAGCCCTTCAGAGCGGTGGACAGCTCCTGCATCAGGCCATTGCACAGTGCATTCAATGCCTTGGGACGGTTCAATGTGATAACAGCCACATTTTTCTTCTCTCCAGTCACTTCGGTTTTAATGAATTCATAGTTGCTGGCTGTTGCAGAGGGAAAGAGATGGCGAACGAATTGATATCACGAAACTTACGTAATCATTGTTATTTTCTTTTTCATACTTGCACACAACTAATTAAATAAACTGGGTAATAAAATAAATAGTTCTGCCACAGTTTTTATGGATTTATATTAATTAACGTGTTCTCCTCGAGTGGACTTTGTTCTCTATCTGCATTGGTGTGATGTGTATGTGTGTGTGTGTGTGTGTGTGAGTGTGAGTACTTACAGGTGCTGCTGAAACGGGCGGCCACTTGTGGCTGACGGGCGGCAGCCTGGACCAAGGTTTGTGCACGCACGGTAAACAGTTTTGCAATATTGGCCATTCTAACACCTATTTTGAAAATAAAAAGTGTTATCCTCTGATTAGGGGAAGCAGATATTGCGGAACGCTTGTTACTTACGATCAGAACGCTGGAGCGGGAATGCCTTGGCTCTAGATGATCGGTCGCACGATGCTTGGAGCCGGTTGGAAAATGGTGATGAGCCAATGTTATGGCACGAATAATCGAAATTCGTTCCAGTCTACGCACGTATGCAATATGAACGTCGTAATTGTCCATAATATACGAAATACATAAATATATATCTTGCAACTAGTTCAAATTATAGATAAATCAAATAAAGTAATGCAGAACAATTACTTAATTTCAAATGTCAAAGAGACAACAACAAAAACATTTTCGACTTTTGTCTGTGTCACACTATATAGCTAATACTTTGTTTATAAAAAGGACGTTTTCAATACAATTACATTGAATTACAGTTTTAAACTGTTACTCAAAAGCTAAAAATATACATTGTTAATTGATTTTATTTTGTATTTCAATTAAACATTTCTCGCTCGCTTAACTAGCTATCGATATATTTGATTAGCCGATATTTACGACAACTTAGTGAAATCGATTGTTTTTGCTTGCAATGCTGTTAATTTTTGAATTGGTATTAAAAGCAACTAGTCCAATTTTATGTATATGTATATTTCAATAATAGAATTGAAATAACATGTTTGGTTTTATAATTATTATTTGTATATAAAATCTGCTCATTCTTGGAAATTAAATGCTTTCTGTAAGCTTGGCAGCTAATAATAATAATATAATAAGATTTTTCAGTTCTTGATACAAATAATTATTAGTGATTAGTTTAAAGATTGGGGCCTATCTGTGGTAATCTGGCCAATTCAGTTGAACCTCATAGTTTGTTCAGTTTTTTTTTTATTATACAAATATAATATTGATTACCAAAATAGAACGAATGTAGTTGAGATTTCTTAGTTGACAAATTGTTAAGTATTGAATCAATGCAATTGTATGTATAATCAGTATTCAAAGTCTGCAATAACATTTCAGGAGCAGTTCTAGAAAACTATAAGCACACAGCTAGTGCAAACAAAAGAAAAAAATAGAAATACTTGTAGATTTAAGTAAGCACGCCAGCGATGCATAAGATAATATCTAATCATTCGGGGATGGGAATGGCTGCTGATCCCCTACTTCTTATGCGCAGACATTGGTGGAGTGCCGTAAAATTTGCGCTTCTTCATAGTGCCCTTAAGTGGCGTAGCTGGCGGAAATAAGAGGAAGCATTATAAGATATATATATATTTATGTGAATATCAGTAAATACCATATAGCGAGAAGAGATCCCTGTTGTTGCTGGGTACACGTTTGACACCGCTGCCAGGAGGCACCAACGGTGGTGACGGCTCGAAGGCCAGGTACTGCTGCCAAAAAGTGCCGGGTAGCTCGAGCAGTGATTTCATTACTTGCGTTTGTGTAAAGACTTCTGTGTAGAGAGCATGCTGATCCGGATCCCGCGACGAATAGCCCATAATTGTGGGCCCGAATATCTTAGATATATTATCTATGGGCATCATTACGACTGGGCAATCGGCAATGCGCTGGAAATGCAGCATCAGGAATGCCATTGTGTCGCGATTTGCGGGCGGCAGTTGCTCCACTGCCTGATAGAGAGACTCAATGGCCAGCTTGTTGTCTGGATTTTGCACAGCATTGGCAAAGTCCTTCCACTGGCTGGTGGGTATGAGCGGTTCGCGCAACGTGCGCAAGAAGTCCTTGACACAACAGCACAGCACATAGATGTCCGTATTGCCCAAATGGGGTGTTACCTTGCCGCGCAGGAACTGTTCCTTCAGTGCCTTGTACTCGCGCTCCGACGACGACATGCGATAGAGGCCCACCTCACTAAGACCACGCGCCTCAATCTCGTTGACACAGTGCACAATCAGTGCAGGTATCATGGGCGCACTTGCTGGCGCAAAATCGCTCAGATAATGCATCTCCGTCTTCGCCGTGGGCGTGCCCGACAGCGGCACACAGCTGACGGTGAGCAGCTGTCGACAGTCGAGGTGACAACGCACCGGACAGTCACGACAGCGCAATCCCACCGAGCCAAAGCGAATGCTGCAAGATATTAAAATTGATGTTCAATTTCTATTGGGGTTAGTGAACTTGAAATGTTTGACTGTACCGCTTTTGACACTGGACACAGTTGTCGCCACGCAAAAAGGTCTTCTGGCTAAAGCTGTGCTTCCGCATCAAGAGACGATTCTGCTGCGCCGGCGACATGCCCACAGCCATGGCATTATTAAGTGGCGTTTGTGGCGCTGTGGGCTCTTTGACGCCCGAACGACGCGGCGTAGAGGTAGTCTGGACATCGGCAACGCGTTCATGCGACACAATCACAGGCAGCGACTCAATGGTAGACTCGGCACGTATGACACCCTGGCCATCCTGTGGTATTGTCACCTTGGTAGTGGCGCAGAAGCGCTCAGCACCCTGGCCCACATCCAATGTGTGCTGATCCACGTGACTCGAGCGGTGCGTTGTGGCGCTGACTGTGCCAGCGGTTGGGGTGCCAACGTTGCTTCCAGTGTGGCCTGTACTCAGACGAGAGCGTTTAGTGCCCACACACGGCACAGGGTTTTTGGGCAATGACGGACGGTGCTCACGCCAAGACTTGGAGCGACGCACATCGAGAAAATCATCCTCAGAATGTGTTATAGATAAATCGGATAGCAAAGAGCCAGTTGAATTGATGTCGCCATATGACTTGTCCTCGTGCAGTGTATTTAGAGACTTGCGCTTGCGCGTCGAGGCCGAAGGCAGCGTATTTAGAAAAGCCAACTTATCGCGCGTCTCGTTGTTCAGATTTCGTTCGTGGCGCAGCAAATCGGCAACGGCCATTATCTTGTTTTCCATGGCGTCGCGCTCGTGCTCCGCCAGACGCCGCGCCTTGATTTCCGTATCAATGATGCGGCGCGCATGATACAGCTTGCCCTCCAGATCGCCCATCTTAGCCAGCGATTTGTCCAGTTCTGTTTGTAGGCGCGCATTTTGTGTGGCGTAGCCATTGCATTTCTCGTGGTACTGTTCGAACAAGCGCAAGAAGCGCAGGAATTCTGTGGGGGATACCAATACGAGTTACAGTATTACTTGCTGCTACATGGACTCACCCTCCTCAGCGGTGCCTTCGGTCAGCACTTGCATGCATCGTCGCAGATCGTCGAACGACGCCAACACGGAGAGCGTCATTTTAGATGGGTGCGCGCCAATTTGACTGCAGCAATTTAATTGTAATTAAAAGCGCAGCAATTTCCTAAATTTTATACACTTTACTTTCACTCTCACTTCTCAAATTTTCCTTTTTTTTCCGAATTTGATCTTATTTACAACAATAAGTACAGCAAAGAGGAAGCACGCTACAAAGGACGCGACTTTTTCTTCGATTGAAGTGCCGTTGTTTTAAATTTGTATGGAGATGTGTGCGATAGCCGATAGTTTTCCTATCGTTTAAACTAAACGTGATTAGTAAAATCGATAGTTCAGCAGTATTCGATTAATGCAAAGTCCTAATAAATGTATAGTGGAATGTAAGCCTTTATCTTTAAAACATGCTAGTGGCGTATCGCTTAACTATGTCTCGTTTTAATTTTAATAAAAACTGATGGCTGATTTATGATATATTTGGTTAAAATACTAAACCATATATTTAATTGGTAAAAAAGTACAGTATTTTATTTTTGGTATTTAATGAGTATTATTTAGGTCTTTTTTTTTTACTATTTTACTAAATATAACCAATATTTTGCCGCTTTGATTCATTTGCACTCGAGGATTCAGAAATTGGATTCGTTAGAATAATGTCAGTTGCCTCGCCTTCCAATCCCGCTTTAACGCTACAAAGCAAACGCTTTAATGGGTTGCGGCACATCCTGGAACGAGAGGGTCTCTTTTGCAAGGATGATTTTTCGCCGTCGCCGGACAATTTGGACTTTCTCCAGACAAAATCCAAAGTGCTCATCATTGGCGCCGGCGGATTGGGCTGTGAGCTGCTCAAAGATTTGGCACTGATGGGTTTTGGTGATTTGCATGTGATTGATATGGACACCATAGAGCTGTCCAATCTGAACCGTCAGTTTCTGTTTCGACGCACGGATATTGGATCATCGAAGGCGGAGTGCGCCGCCCGCTTTATTAATAATCGTATACCCACATGTAGGGTGACGCCGCACTTTGCCAAAATACAGGACTTCGATGAATCATTCTATCAACAGTTCCACATCATTGTCTGCGGCCTGGACTCTATAGTGGCACGCCGCTGGATCAACGGCATGCTGCTGTCCATGCTGCGCTACGACGATGACAACAGCCTTGACGTGTCCTCGATTATACCGATGATAGACGGTGGCACCGAGGGATTTAAGGGCAATGCCCGTGTCATATTGCCCGGCTTCACTGCCTGCATTGAGTGCACCTTGGACCTGTTTCCGCCGCAGGTCAATTATCCGTTGTGCACGATCGCAAACACGCCGCGACTGCCAGAGCACTGCATTGAGTATGTGAAGATAATACAATGGGACAAGGAGAGCCCCTTCAGTGCGCCGCTGGACGGCGATGATCCGCAGCACATTGGCTGGATATATGAGCGTGCCTTGGAGCGTGCCAATCAGTTCAATATAAGCGGCGTCACGTATCGCCTGGTGCAGGGCGTCATCAAGCATATTATTCCGGCAGTGGCCAGCACCAATGCGGTAATTGCCGCCGCCTGCGCATTGGAGGTGTTTAAGCTGGCAACCAGCTGCTACGATAGCATGTCCAACTATTTCAACTTCAACGATCTGGACGGCATTTATTCGTACACCTATGAGGCGGAAAAATCGGATGGCTGCTTGGCCTGCAGCAACACGCCGCAATTGCTGAACATTGAGGATCCCAATACGACAACCCTGGAGGATATTATCAAGCAACTGTGCAAATTGCCGCGTTTCCAGCTCAAGAGCCCAGCACTGACCACCGTCATGGCCGATGGCAAGCAGCGCACTCTGTACATGGCCAATGTGAAAAGCATTGAAGAGGCCACGCGCAAGAATCTGACGCAGTCGCTGGGCGAGCTGGGCCTCCAAGATGGTCAGCAGCTGACAATAACCGATGCCACATCGCCTACGTCCATTACGCTGCAGCTCAAATACCAGGCCAACGAGGTTGAAATGTTATAATTGCAAATAAACTAAAGAATATTCAATATTCAAGTCTAAGCGCACGTTACTGAATTGAAACACAATTATTCTTTTTACAAAAAATACCCAAGCAACTTATTGGTAAGTGTCGTTTCGCATATATAAAAGCAATTGAAAAGCTGATTTTCAACTAAAAATAGATAAAATGAATCACATTTAGCAGCTCATGTCCAGAATGAATTTCTTGCCAGTGAAGCCTTTGAAGTTAAGCGCGGCAGCCGCGGCTTCTTTGAATTTTTCCAGCGGCACCATCTCGTGCGTTGGGGCCACAAACTTTTCCTGCTCCATCAGCTGGCAGAGCTCTTGAAACATTTGCTTACGTTCCGGTGCGCTGTAGTTCTCCTTGGACCAGCGCGTCATCCAAAAGCCCCGAAAGGCAATGTCCTTGAAGATCAATGGACCTGTGGCAACGGTAACCGGCTCGCGGGACATGCCGCCATAGGTGACCATAACACCGCGATCGTTCAGGTGCCGCGACACCTCCGTTGCGCTCTTGCCACCCACACAATTGAGCGCCAGCTGGGGTCGCTTCAGTTTTCCAGTCTTGAAGAGGTCGCTCGTGCGCATCTCCTCCTCGGTTAGCACAGCAGTCGCGCCCAGACCCTGAAGCAGCTGCTTCAGTTCGCTTATTTCCGGGCGATTGCGAACAATGCCCACACTGTTGATGCCCCACGCACGGCACAGCTGATGCACAGCTTGACCCACAGCGCTGTTGGCGCCATTCTGTATGACCGTGTCGCCGGGCGATAGCTGCACAAAGTCCTTGAGCATGCGATAGGCGGTGCAGGGATTCACTGTTATTGTTGCCGCCTCTGCCAAGCCCACCTTGCTGGAAATGGCAAGCAATTGATCCTCGGTGTAGACAGCGTGCGTTGTCCAGGTGCCCAGGCCAGAGGCCAGCGGAACCACATGGGCACCTGGCTGCAGGCCTTTCACCTGGTCGCCCACACAGACAACCTCGCCCACAAACTCATTGCCTGCTATGGCCGGAAACTTTGGCTTCACGGGATATTTGCCTGCAAATTGTGCACAAATGTTTATATAAGTTGAACATTAATCTAAGCCTCCATGCAGACTTGCCCTGTATTGTGTTAATGTCGGCGGGATTAATGGGCGCTGCCAATATTTTGACCAGCACTTGTTTGTCCTTGGGATCCGCCAGCTTATCCTCCACCAGTTTCAGCACATCCTGCGGCTCGCCGTGCTCTGTGTACTTCAGAGATTTGGCGACTACGGACATTTGACGGCACAACCGCGCCTGGCTTGTCCAGCTGGGTAGAGTTTTACGCAACATGTTTTTGTATATTTAAAAAAAAAATTTTGTTTTCTGTTTTTGCTAAACCGAACAAACGAAATAACACAACAGTATTTTTTTTTTACCAAGCCGGCTGAGCCGTTTCCACCAGACAGCATTGCATATAACATATTGTTGTTTCCACTGTGTGCTTGAATTTATCCAAAATTTGGTGTTGTTAAGCGGTAAACGATTTGGTATGCTAAAACCTTTTTTTAAATGTATTCTTTACATATAAAAACCCATTTATTTTAAAGATTCATAGTTAATCAATCGTCTCGCATGAAAAGAATATATATATCTCAAATTTTCAGAAAATACTGAACTGAATTATAAGTGTGACCGCATTGCGTTTTGTTTTTTGTTTCTTTCTCTTTTTGACTGCTGCGCGCCAAGACAAATATTTTAAATTCTCAGAAAACACTAAACTGAATTATAAGTGTGACCGCATTGCGTTTTTTTTTTCTCTTTTTGACTGCTGCGCGCCAAGAAACACAAGAACGTTAAAGTTTAAAAGTCAAACAACGTTATGTCGTGCACTAATTGCACTGTGCAGGCAACCACGCAACTTCCTGTTTCCTTTTCCGTGCACCGCCCAAACAGTGCAGGTGTTTGAGGGCTCCTTCAGGCAGACTTGCGACCACAAGAGCAAACACTTGACCCAAACTTTAACCACCACCAATTTGAATATTGCATTAGCATAAAAATGCAATTTGTGGGCGTTGCAGCGATTGGCAGGGCTCAAAAAATATAATATACAGGGAATATTTAAGCGAATAATTAGTCTACGCAACATTTTAATCCACTGCCATTATTTCATATTCGTCGTAATCGTTTTATAAACTGTGCAACAACAATAACAAACACTTCGAAAATTTACGTTTAGTTTTTGCAAAATAAACAGAAATCAATAACTATGGGACAGACAGACGGCTAGGAAAAATTCATGTCTAAATTTCCCACTCCAGCACTTTTACAGCCATAATTATACATGGCACGCTCGCTGCGCAGGATGGGGTATATTAACTTTACCGTTCATTGGTTGGCTAATTGTTGGTAATCAAGAGCTGACAAAATTCTACTTTTGTTTAACTACCAAATCTAAGCTGCATTCAGCTTTAAGAGTTAATAGACAGAATTGAATTGTTTTCTATTATAAAAGGAAGTCTACTAGTTGGTATTTGAGTCATCGACTATTATTATTATTTGTACTTATTGTGGCGATAAAAGACGTTGCCGGGGTTCTCATAAACCAGCCAAACATCGTCGTCGTCGTCGCCGTCGCCACAGGAGACCCTCGTGCCCCGCCGTCCGGCAATACGGAAACGAAAAATCCAATAAAATAAATGTATGTGAGAATTGTTCGTGGTTGGTCGCGTGCAGGACTCAACTCGCAGGCGGCAGCTGTCCAGGCTTAGTTAACATTTAGCATTCGAACGACACAGTTGCCAACGGGTCAGGTCCTTTTAAATGTCCACACGACAAGCACTCAATCCGCGCGCCAATGTATTCATACTGGTCAATCTGGGCTGTGAGGCGTTGTACGTAATTGACCAGCGCCTAAAGGCGCAGCAAATTGCGCTCGACAAATCCATTCAAGGTAAAATTTGTTTAATTTAAATACTAAATTAGGAGCCAGTCCAGCCCCACCACACATTTCCAGTTATACACGATGTGACGTCGGTGCTGTTGGAGCCCAAGTTTATGGAATCCCTCATCAACGGATCCATGCACGGCAACGCACAGCTGCTGACCGCAGATCACTGCAAGTTCATGTTGAAGGACATAACCACCTGTTCGCTGATGCGCCTCGACGAAACGTCCATGGAGAAGCTGTGGAACCTGATGACCATGATGTACAAGTGGCAGCTGTTCGTCTCGCGCCACCAGCACCATTTGCTGGACATAACGTTCCGTCACTTGGATGCCATTAACAGGTTGTATCCGGATGCGAAGCGGCATATGCTCATCGATTTTAGCAAGAATATGTTGCTGGATTTCTGGAATGCCTGTGGCGAGCAGCAACAGTTGTCCATATATCGCACCAACAGAGCCTGGCTGCAATGCTTCAATACAAAGATATCGCTGCTAATTCGGCTGGGCTTTCAGGCCATGGATGGCAGTTTTTTGGCCGAAGTAGATCAGAGCCATTATCAGGTATATGCCCAATGCATTGGGGACAATATCTACATTAAAAGCAGCGAATTGGCGCAGCAACAGCAGCAGCAACGGGAGCCCAATCGCATTGATCAACTGGCAGCCCAGCTCAACATTAATCCGTCGTCGCAGCCAACCGGCGAGGATTTGCAGCCCATGGATGCACGCCAAGTTCAGAGGCAGTTCGAGCAAACGTTCTCCAGCATTTTGTTTACAGACACGGATAGCAATGCGGCGGCAGCAACGTCACAGGCGCAGCGCAATCCAAATGCCTCCGGCTGTGAATTTGTCCAGCTGCTGACTGGCAACAGTAAAGCAGACGATGAGGTGGTCAGCACAGCGAGTCGCAGCGGGGGTGTGCTCAAACAGCAATTGCTCGATTTGTACAGCAAAATACCCTGAAAAAGCTGTGTAAAAAGAATGTGGCATACTGATTGAGCGCCATTTAGCGTGAAATGAGCGCAAGCATGTAATGCATAATTAAAAAATATTGTATTTGTTTGTAAAATAATTACAAAAAAGTGTTTTTCTTTTTGCAGTTTCGAAGACATTGGTGATCCAACAACATTACAAAAATTTTGAGCTTGAGACCTAGTTTTCTAAATTTTCTTTGTAATTGCGGCCGAGCCGCTGGCAAAGCGGAAAAACGACCTAAAATTTCTGTCTATCATTTCGTGTGCGAAGTGTTGTTGTAAAACAATAGAACAAAATATTTCAAAAAAGACAAATTGGAAATAGAAATTCACAAGTATATAAATATTAAAGAATTGTGTTGTCTGTTTGCATGCCAATTAAAATCAACAACTGCCTTAGCTGCCAAAATGCTGGAAACTTATGGCAACAAATTATAGTTAAGGGGAGGGGGAGGGGGGATAATTACTGCTTGTTCGTCCAGATATACATATTTGTAGTTCGTCGCTGTGTCTTGGGAGCTGGTGGTGGTGGTGATGGTGGTGGGTGGGATGGCGGGTTGCGAGGCAGTCAGTGCATTGTGTCCCAGACACATTACATTTTCGCCTTAAGCGGCACCGCATCCACCATGATATGCAGTGCCATCTTGAGACACTCCTCGGCCGAACTGATCTGGGCGCAGGGAAAATCGGCAGCGTATTGCGTCAGAAAATCACAGTATTTCTGATAATTGGTCAACGCAAAATCATAGTTATAGGCACCCAATAACTTCAAGTCCGTGTCATTGGTCACCAGCGGCACCGAAGCCTTGAACGGTAAATTTTTATACGTCAAATAGTCCAATTCGCACGCCTCGCATTTGCAGGTGAAACGATATTGCATGGACAGCGTCTCATGGCGTTGCTTCTTGCTGAACACTGCAAAGTGAGCGCTGGCGAAAGAGAATTTGTTTTTACGAGCCTCAAATTTATTTTCGTCATTTCGTCTTACCCATAGTTATCGTAGAGCACATCGCCGGCCTTGATGGGCCGCAGCACAAACAGATACCCCTTGACACCTTCATAGATGCGCAGCGTGTTGGGTGCACACGAGTGATTTAGCAGGGAGAGAAACGCATAGGCGCCGGATGAATGCGACTGATCGTCCTTGGTCTCATTCGCCTGCTCGACGAGATCTATGCCATGCATGTTTGATGGTGATGTTTGTAAATGTCTAAACAGTAGATCCGTGAAAAAGTTGCGACCCTCCTCGCCGCCCAGATAATCTTTCAGCGGCGTATACTCCATGATAAAGTGCTTGAGGACGGCGCAGACAACCGAGCGCTGAAATAGATCCGAAACGGAGCGCAGCTGTTGATTCGTTACCAGGCCGTGTATGGCACGGTAATGTTCTTGGGGTGTTAGATGCGTATAGTCCAGATCGAAGACGCACTTGTGCTGATTCTCCGGCTGCTCACAGTAGGCCATCAGCTCCTCAATGCTACCATATAGATCCAGGGCGCTCAACGTTGTGCGCAACGCAATGCAGTGGATTTTGTTGAACATGCGATGCAATAGGTCAATGATGGGGCACTCGTATTTGTGGAAAGTGCTGTTGGCGCGCTGCTTGCACTCTTCCGAGCAGAACATGACCGAGCAGCAGCTGTCGCAGGGTATAAGTGTTAGGTAGCGCTCCTCTTTACAGGTGGCGCACCTGATGTATCGCATGGGCGCCAGCAGCGAGGAGCAGAAGGGCTCCTCAGCGGCCACCACATCGCCCACGACCAGATCCTGCGTGGTCACTATAAATCTGCCCTCATCGGGCGTTTCCCTCATCTCCAGGCAGTTGGCTATGAACGGCACCTGCGGATGTGCATCGAAGTTCAACTTGAAGCCGTACGGTACAATATCCGGAGGCTGTTGCTGCACCAACTGTTGACAGTCGCGCTCCCGCTTGTCCAGTTTATGACGCAGACGTTCTGGATAGTTGGCCTTGCGCGCCAGCTCAATATTGGCCAGACATTCGCGATAGCGTTTCCACTCAAAGAAGACCGCCGAGCGATTGGCGTATCCAATCGACAAATTTTCCGAGTTTGGTTCCGCATAACAAATGCTCTTGTTGTACAATTCGAGCGCCTACGGAGAGAAAATCATTTGTTTATTATATCCATTTTGAACTCGGTAAACATTAATATAAAAGTTCAGCAGAGTTTAAAGTTCCCGCTAAACAATTTAAGTTAATCTATCGATAAGTATCAGAGTAACCAGATCAGTTTGTGTTCAAAAAGGTATTTTTTGGGTATATTTTAATGTGGAATGCTTTTAAAATTTCGTGGTGTAATTAGATATCAAAAACGATAATATTTACAAATTATATATGGAATAGAATTTTAGAAGCATTTCCATTATCAGCTTGGATAGCCTATTGGCCCACTTGCCTGAAAGTATTTCCTGTTCTTCAGGGAAAACTGCTCGTTGCCCAGCATGCGGAATTCGACGCTGCGCTTGTTGCATTTGTTCTCGCGTAGCGTTACATTTAGGAATATCTTCTCCATGTACTTGAAGTCAATCAATGCATGTTCAACGAAGTTCACCTTAGAATAGTTCTCTTTGAGCTCATTAAATTTGCCGGATATGATGCCAATCAGTTTCCAGTCGTTGAGCTTTTTGATCAGATCGTCGCTTATGTCGTATACGTCCATTGTTGTTATTATTGTGCCTCAATTTATCCTCGAGTTGTACATACACAAACACACGCACGTACGCACGCACACACCTACACGCACGCACACTCAGACAGAGCCAAGCCACTTGGTCTAGTCGTCGTCCTCCTCGCCGTGTTTTGCTTGCAAGTCGCGTGTGTTGCGTCGCCGCCGCCGCCGCCTGTTTTTTCACCAACAAAATATGTTTGTGTATTTCAATGTTTTTGTCACGCAACTTAAGAATTGCGTTTATATGCGGCGTCAATATGCAATTTCACAGAAAATTTCGAGAATTATACCGCAAATTTACTTGCTATGCGCCAATCCTGATCAAAAATTTAGTTTAGTTGGTTTTTTTTTTGGCGAATTCAACCTCAGTGTGACCGTGTTCGGGAAGCAGCAAAAAACATCTTTTGCATGGGAAAAATACCAGCAGTCACGCGGTAAGAAAGGTTGGTAGGGCTAAATTTTTAACACGATAGCGCCATCTAGAGATTACAGTTAGTTATTTTCTGTTTCGAAAATTAGCCGACATGTATGTAGATGTATTAAAAAGTTATTGTTTGGATTCTAAAGAGACTTAAACAAAATAATTCCAACAAAAAGAGTAATGCAATATAATTAATGAACATTTCTAAATCGGGGAATAGATACAATAAAGGAACTCCCCTATTAAAGACTGCGCTCACTTATTATTTCTCTTCGCACCATTCGTTCTCCTTGCGCACCTGCTCTTCCTCAGCTGGAGAAAAGTCGTTGGCTATGGCAAACATTTCGCGTATATCCTGAAGCGACTTGCCCTTGATCATATTGGCACACGTTTTGCAGGTGACATCCAATAGGCCCTGGATGTTCAAATAGTTAGCGGCCAGAATGAGCTCGAACAAGGTGCCTTGGTCGACTTTAAGAAAGTCCGCATCCCAGGATGAAATATCATCTGTGCGCTTTTCCTTGTTCTCATCCTCCTGGGGCTGCTGCGGATCGTCTTGGGCGTGATAGGTAGCCCAGTGGAGCACCTTGCGCAATATAGTCGAGTTTACATTGGGCAGGGGTAACACACTATTGTCGCTTTCGTCACCCAAATCTTCAAGTGCCGTCTTAATAGTTTCCGAACATTTGGCAATTTCGATATCGGTATCAAAAATCTCCTTATCGGATGATTCCAAGCGTATAATTGGCATTCTGGAATAGCTAATACAAGAACTGTTTTTTATTTTGGCTTCCAACGAATGCCGAATATTTTTAGAACATGTAGTTTTTTTTTTGCTTTTTTTTACCGTAAAACTCACAAGATTTTTTTGATTTGTTATCAGTGTCACTAAATTTGACCAACATATGCGGATCGACGTGATTTTCAAGGCACCACATGAAAAGCTAAAAATAAGTGCTTTATTATTTTGGCTGCTTGTTCTTCGACTTGAAATTAAGAACAATTTTAGTCGGCAGCGCTAGTTAATATGCATTTGAACTTGACAATATAGTTCGAATCTCATCATTTCTACTAATTTACATAGTTAATACTTGCCCTATTTACAAAATCAATTTCGCTTTGTTGATGAAATTATAACGATTTGCCGGGCTTTTAATGTGACCAAGTCTCGCGGAATTAAAAGAATAAAATCAAAAATAAAAAATACCAATACAATAATAATTAGCATACCAATATATTTTCAAAATTTACAATTTGGAGCCAAGCCTTTTCAATAATTTTAGTTGAAACGTATGTACAAAATTTTGGGAATGCATGCATAGATGCAAAACAAGTCTTACTGATGCACATTCAGTGCAACAGGCCCAACAAAAAGTCGAGTGTCTTTGATAAAATTGCTACTGCAGCATCCATCGCTAAGCCTATACCCTGGAATAACAAATCCAGCAGTTCGTCTTGTTCAAATGTGCGTACGAAGCGAAACAGGAACAGCGCAGATACAACGATGATCACAGGCCAGATAAGCGAAAGCATGAAGCGTGTCGTCCAGATAAGCACATACCAAGAGACGACTAAGAGCAAAACATACGCAATTAATGTTCCCATGTCCGTGGGCATGCCGGCATTCTTCACCGTGTATTCGTATAGAACGATAAAAAAGGGTGAGTCCCTCCAGTCGCCGGCTTCCTTCCAACTCTCCTCAGCCATTTTGAATATGTTCTTTGTCTGCTAAAAAATCTAAAACAAGGCAAACTGTGTTCAGTTTTATTTAATGTGATTTACCTACTTCGAACATCTCAAGTGCTTACTCACCGATCACATACTAACAGCTGTTCGTCATATGGCAAGCCGAAAATGGCACAAAAATACCAAATTTTATTTTGACATAAATACCAATGCGCTCGTCATTTTGTTATCGAGAGCATTTATCGAGCAAATATTACGCGCGCCATCTTTCGACATTTGAAAGTGCGCATCAGATGAAAAATAACCGCTTTATTGCGTCCCTAGAGGCTAATCAACCTTTTGAGGGGATTAACCTGCTGGCAATTCAGCTGGTGATTTCCAAACTCTAAACTTCATACGTGTGTGCATTGAACTTGCAGTCATGCTTGCATCTATTCCTTAGAATACAGTCAATGTCCCGACTAAAAATAGAACGTTAACTGATGCTGAGCATTTGAACGGTAAGCAATTTCCTTTTCCTTTCAGCTGCTGTTTGGGGGCTGGTTCAATGTACTGCACCTGTAGCGCTTTTGTTTGCTAGAAAATGAAACGAAATCGCATTTTAATGGCCAAAAATCGCACACATATACCCAAACCATACAGCCTCGATGTATAAAAAATGCAATAAATTGGCCAATTTCGAGCTGATAAAGGCAGAAACCTAACACCAGCAGCGCCACCGACGAACGACGTTTAGCAAATTGGCTGCTTTAACCGCAATATATGCGAACGTTTTTGCTTTTGTGCGCAATAATGCCGTGGCAACAAATTATGGCTGATGATAAGAATATCGATATCAATAGACATTTTATTTTTGCCGGAGCTGGCAATCAGAATTTCAACATCTATGCATGGTACGCTTTTAAGCTGCTGCTGTCAAGGCGTATTATCAAGACACTAGCTTGGTACTTATTGTCCTTTAATTCGTTATCGAACGGACAGGATCCATTTGATATAACTATTGACAAAATACTGAGTATCAGCGCAAAATCAAACATAATCTTTTAACACATACATATGTAATATTTAATTCTTATACTAGTCCCTTGAATGCAACAGAGCGTCGGCCAATCTTTGTCTCTAACAAATGCTGATGCCATAAGACCAGTCTAATCCAGCGCTTGAGGATTTCTCTGGCAAAGTGGCACAAAGACTTATGTACTTTTATAACGTAGCCAGATGCTATTTCTCAGAAGCAGCTTGTTTGCTTGCCACTGTGTAATCGTTGGTTATCAAATGCCAACGAGAATACATTTCAGCTATGTTGCATATTTTACTTATGCATGTAAGGCTTGCAACAGGTGTGCTATAACAATTTTAGTGAGTTGTATAAGATGCACAAATTTTAAGCTTTTTGGCATCAAAATATTTTGGCATTTAACTTTCCTAAATGAAATGCAAGCCGAAAAGTCCTTTGAGTTAACTGGACAAGGGGACAAACACTGTCAAGTTGACAACCAAAAAACGATGTTAAATGTGTGCGGAAACGGAAATGTTCTGGCAAAAGTCAAGCATGCAACAGGAAGCTACGCAAACACTGGGACACACATACACACTCACGCAGACGTCAGTAGAAATGGAGATAGTGCGATACATTTATGAACAAAGCCAGATATATAATAACAGGCACAGCAACTGCAATAATAACAAGAATAACAACAACAGCTTGTCGTTGTTTCTGGTCTGTTTTATAAGCAAATAAAGGCGTGACACAGTTCTTTCATTCACACACATGCTCCCCAGACACACACACACACACACACAGTCAAAGTGGACAGAACACATGGCAGTATCTTTTATATAGTCCAGTTGCTGTTGCTCCTGTCAAAGTCAGTCAACCAGCCCAAGCAGTCACTTGTATTGCCATTGCAACAAAGTCGCATCGGTGGCCTTTGTGACCTGCTTGCAGTTTGTGTATGTGTGTGTGTGAGTGTGTGTGCTTGCCTTGTGCTGCAAACCGCATAGGTAAAAACCTACTGTGCCATGCATCCAGCATAGTTGTAGATGGTTTTTGGAGCCAAATGAAGTGAGCTTCTTGATAAATGAATATTTACGGTTGCTGACAAATAAACTAAAGCACTTTCGACTAAAAAAGCAATTTATTAAGCAGTCAATTAAATTGTTTTGTGCACTTAAATTGCAATTGCAGCATCGAAATTAAGTTGGAAGAAGTCAAAGCTTAAACCGATTGATATTTACACGTGTAATTTAAATTAATAGCAGCACTTTGTTCTCATTATGATTTCATCGTCTTAGAAATTTATATTTATTGCATTTCACATAAAGAACTTAAACCTATCTTAAATGTAAGTAATTGTTTTACCGTACAAATAGTTGCGAGTCTTAGATTTGTGGATTGATTGCATTTATTACAAAATTTAGTAAAATACCAGAAGTTGTTGGCTTTTGGTATAAAAGGACATTCATTCATATATAAATACGTATACACACAAAAGCAACCATAGATTGCCAACACAGCCCTGATATCGCTTACATTTTTGAGAATCACATAGAAGTCTAATAATTTAAGTATATTATTAATTTATTGCCTCGTGAAGGAGATTATCATGGTTATACAGTATTAATTTGCGTAAAATATGATAGCATCTGATGATTACATCTGTCTGGCAGATGTTATCATTGATTATTTTCGATTTTGCATATCTATTTCCATGGAATTTCCGCTGAATCACATGAATTCAATTTATCGTTCGAATTGATGGGTTTAGTGCAATTGTCTTAGTGTGTGTTCTTTTCTCTCCCTTTTCCCACTGCTATCATTTCTACTCGTATTTGCAGCGATAAGCGACTGGGACAGCGGGCGACCTTTTAGCTTAATGTTGCTGATGTGTCTGTCAGATTTGCAAGCAGTGCACATGTTTACTGTTACTTTAAGTGCATCAAATGGCAGTGAAGCTAACCGCAAAAACTCAAGACCTGCCTGCCCCAAGTCCCCCTATACTGCTGTCAACTAGCATGTGCCACACGTGCCCCAGCTGAGGCCGCAACGACGCAGAGCTTTAAAGTGCAGGCAGCTCCTACTCAACGTTGACCTTTCACGTTGGAGCAAACAGCTGGAGGGGCGATGGGGATGTCGCCTCGCATGCTGAAAACCATTTGATATAGTCGAGCATATAGCCGCGACACTTGATAGAATTAATGAGCATCGAGCAGGCCAGAAGAATGGAAAAGCTGCTGAGTGAAGGTAGCCCCTGGGAGATGAATATATTAAGAGTGGGGCCCACATGAAATTGTTTGGGGATCGTCTGTCGTTAGCTTGGGAGCCAAGCAACAGGTATTGTTGTGGTGTTTCTACATTTTGTGCACTCAACTGAGCTAAACTTTGAAAATATATTATAAGTAACTCCTCAATTTGAGCAGCATTCAGGAAAGTCAACGCTTCAGGGCCAATAGCTGTAGCAACAAAGCAACAAATAAGTTGATGCTTCAGTCGGGCTTGCCCGTCTTGGTAATACCCTTAATTTAGCGTAGATAACAACTTTTGAAACATTATACGTATACATATGCATATGCATAGCTCCATCTGCATGTTACATACATTTATACCAAACCATTATACCCTGAATGGAATGGGTTCAGGGTATAGAAAGTCGGAGGGAAAAAAACTGTTTCCAGCTTTTAGGCGGGGCGGGGTAAGGGTATGATTTTTTAAATGTCAGCGCGTAATAAAATTTGGACGCCTTTTACGCATTTTTAAGTTTGCGCCGCTTGCGCATAAATGAAATTATTAGCAAATAAATGAAAAATGCGCAGTTAAATTGAATTATATATACAAATACACGCACATATGTACATACACGTTATTTTTATTCTTTTATTTATTTATTTTTTTAATATTTATTTGTTGGCTGGCTCGAGGTCCGTGTTTGTTAAAACAAACAATGAAAAACAATTTTATTCAATTCTCTTCCGATATATTTCGGTTGCACATCGGCAAACCGTCTTCAGGGCACTAACACCAAGATACAAAAAACAATTAACAATTATAATACAATAAATTAAACATTATTTCGAACATTTTACATACATTATTTTACACGTCTGCGCTTTTTGACGTGGAGATTGTTACTGAGGTTGTTTGACTGTTTAAGAGGTGTCTGTACAAGT